CATGCTGAGCATATAATCCAAGAAAGTGGATGATGTAAAGGAGATTGGATTAGACTGAAGTGTTTCCCAAAGTGAGTAATTGCTCACCCCTGGGGGTATTGGAACAATCTGGGGTTGGGTCTTATCCTGGATAAACCTACCAGCTGCTCTGTATGAGAAAGATGAGACCTTTTATTCCTATGCACATTTCAAGTCTCAGAAACCCAGAGGGACAGTTCTACTCTGTCCAATAGGGTCTGGATGAGTCAAAATGGACTCGTTGCCAGTGAGCTATAGTAAAAAAGTGTTTAATTGCCATTGGGACACAGAGTAATTTTTTTTTTCTCAACAGGGGGCAGTAGGCTAAATACATTTGGGAACCTATGAATTAGCAGTGGTTCTCAACCTTCTTTGTGCCGTGACCCTTTAATACAGTTCCTCGTGTTGTGGTGACCCCCCCGCAACCATAAAATTTTTTTCATTGCTACTTCATAACAGTAATTTTTCCACTGTTATGAATTGGTGACACCTGTGAAAGGGTCGTTCCACCCCCCACCCCCACAAGGGGTCATGACCCACAGGTTGAGAACCGCTGGATTAGAGGAACAGCCTGCAATATGCAGATGGTATAACCTTGCTTACTGACAGCCAGGTGGACATCAAAGACAGTTTTCTGTATGATTTACACCTCAACCTAAAGAAAACAAGAACTCTTACCACTGAACAGATATGCAACATCATGCAAAGAAAAGACTGAACTTGGCAAAGGTTTCCTTTTATTTGGATCCACAGTCCACACCCATGGAAGCAGCAGTCAAAAAAATTCAGTGATGCAGTGCATTGGCAGCTCTGCTACAAAACATCTCTTAAAGTGGTAAAAAGTAAAGATATAACTTTGAAAACTAAAGTGCAGCTGACCCAAGCCATGGTTCTTTAAGTTGCCTCAGATGCATGAGAAGGCTGGGCAACTCATAGAGAAGACTGAAGAACGATCGATGTGTGTGAATTATGGTGGTGTTGATGAACCTTGAAAGTACCACAGACTGCTAGACGAACAAACACAACTGCCCTGGTGGTAATGCACCAGAATAGCCTTTCAAAGCCAGGATAGCAAGACTTTGTCTAATGCACTCTGAACATGTGGGGAGGCCAGCCCCTAGAGAAATGACATCACACACACTGAAGTAGAGAGTGAGTGAAGGCGAAGAGGGCCCTCAACACAGTGGAATCGACACAGCAGTGCAACAATAGGCTCAAACACAACAGTTATTAAAATGGTGCAGGACTAGGCATCTATGAGTCTGAACCAACTCAAGGGCGCATAACAGCAGCAGCAACAAGATCCCTTGCATAGGGTCACATGAGATGATGCCATGAGTTGGAATCTACTCAGTGGCAACTAGCAGCAGTGACACAAGGTAAACATATACAAATAGCCAGAACGTTTGGAGTTGTCTACACATTATCATCCCCCCACCACTTGCTTATTAGTCTGTCAGACGGTGGTGCTGGACACACCCATGGCGATTTCAGTAGCCTCGTATGCATGTGGGAGTTGGACATTGAATAAGGAACGCTGAAGGAGAATCAATGCTGGCAAAGAATAGCAAAGAATAGTGAAAGTATCATGGACTACCAAAATACAAACAAATCTGTCTTGGAAGAAGTACACCCAGAATTCACTTAGAGGCAAGAATGGCGAGACTTTGTCTCATATACTCAGGGCATGTTGTCAGGAAAGACCAGTCCCTGGCGAAGGACTTTATGCTTGGTAAAGTAGCAGGTAGCAATAAAGAGGGAGATCGTCAACCAGATGGATGGACACACTGGCTGCATTGATGGGCTCCAACACTGGAACAATGGTGAGGACGGCCCGGGACTGAGCAGTGTTTTGTTCTGTTGCCCACGGGGTCTCTAGGAGTGGGAACCACTTCGACAACAGCAACATGTAATTTATACATTGAGTTCAGCTAGTCAATGTCTTGTCATTTCGGTTTCAGTTATTACTGTTGATAGAGTAGATAAAAGGAACTATATTTTCTGTCTTTATATTCCCAGCAGTTAGCATTGCTGTTAGGTGCCTTCAATTCAGCTCCAACTCAGACCCCGTGTACAACAGAAAGAAACACTGCCATCCTGCAACAGCCTCACAATTGTTGCTCTACTTGAGCCCTTTTTTTACAGCAGTTAGCATAGTACGAACAATTACCGATGTGTGTTTATGCTACAGTGCTACAACTGCACTAATTTATAATCAGGAAGAGCACTGGTTTAGACATGCACGCAGATTAAACTTTCCACATTTAAGATCTCTTCTAATTTCCCACTGAACGAATTCTGTGCTTCATTTCAATCTTTTATTTATGATTCGTCAACCCTGCTTAATTTTCTTAATAGGAATAGATACATTGGTCTTAGTTGTATACAGATGAAATTTATTGATACAACTGTAGATTATTTTGGTAACTTGAAATCTCTTGAGATAAATTCTCACAAAAAGTAACAGGATTAGTATCGAAGCCTAAATGGTGAGAATCCAGTATGCAGAAGGTGATGGATGACAGTGGTAGCCCAGGATTCACTTGTGGAATGACATAGGAAATACGTTGGGGTAGAGGATTTTAGAAGATCAAAGGCATAAATCTGACCTGAACAGTCAAAACTTTGTCAGTAGGTCCCCTCTGTGATGCAGGCTGAACCTAATCTGGTTTCCAAAATTTTCTGTGTATTATTTTGTTCAGTTTGTTGTTGTTGTTGTTCATGTATACCTCAAAGGTGTTAGATCAATGGAGGTCACCCTCTTAAAGCTGTGTTACATGTTTTTCTGGTTTTTGGTGCATGAAACCCAGGATTGATGAACCTAGAGGGGCAGCAAGTAGAATAAGCAGCTTGGGGGATGGAGGGTCCAGTGGTGGTGTGTGTGGGTGGGGGCAGGGGGGGTGGACGGTAAGAGGGCCCCATGTAGAAAAAAAATGTTTGGAAAATGATTGTGGTAGCAATTGTACTGGGTGTGATTGAAATATGGAATGCTATAGATGTTTCAAATCGCAAGTAAAAGGAAAAAAATTTCATCTTTCTACAT